CATCTTAAAGACAACAGAAAGATGAGAGTAAATATTTTAGTGTTTCAGGATCAAATCCTCATTGTCTACACTGGGAGCAGTAGAAGTAGTAGAAGTGGTGGGAATTTATGCTTGGCCATTCTGGGACAATCTTTGCAATGCTGCAGACTAAAGTACTTTCAGACCCACAGACCAGAGTCAAGCAGATATACATGCTGTAGAAATACTGAAACTTGACATGAAGTGGGAGGTTGAAATGTAGGAGCTTTTCTATGTGCAGAGACTCGGCAAAGTAAAAAGAACTGGAGGTGTAAAATCAATGCTACAGCAAATTAAAATCTCTTTCCTACTGAATTAGAGCATCTGTCCAGGAATTTCGTACACTCTACCTTATGCACATTGGTTTCATGCTTTTTGTTGATTTGCTTTAACTAATGTGTTTCCATGGGGAGGGAGTCTTAGGCCACTCAGCTTGTTGCTGCCCGTTATGGCAAGCTGAATTTGTTTTGCTTATCCTGACAACAGGAAGGGCAGTGAGGCAAATAAAAATTCTTGTGATCGAAGCCCAGCAGACGGAGAAACTCAAAGACAAACCTATATACTTATACAGCTAAAGGTAACAAAAATCTAGTGTAAATCTAATTCTGTTGGTCATTCTAGTATAAAATAGTAATTTTTCATGATAAGGGAGTAATTCACATACGTAAACATAGTGCACAGATAATACCACAGGCCTGCCTGAAACATTGGCACAGGACTGATGGTGATGTCCCTGCACCTTGGATACCCCACCCAGCGTAATAACTGTGCCCTGCTCTCACCTTAGACATAGCTTGGATAAAACTTTTTGGTGGACGTGGAATCAAGAGAAATCTGTCCTGCAATGTTCATTCATTAATATTATACAATAACAATTTGGTGACTGTTAAACCACAACTGAAGTGGGTTGCAGCCTCTTACTCTGAAGTCTTACTGTTCCCAGTGTCAATACCATACAATATCACAACACCTATACAGCATTATGCTTGGCTTCTACCCAACTGTCTACTGCACCCCATGGTCCAAAACAACAGCTGTAATCAGATGACAAATACATACTGACAGATGAACAAAATGCTGTCTTCAGATGCAGAAAGGGCTGCAATGATACTTGAGCGCTGCAGGATACTGAGCACGAAACACAGGGCCACCCTCATTTCCTTGGGCTGCCTCTTTCCGTAACCCTCCTCTAGCTGCAGCGCTACCCTCCAAAATTCCCTCTTGCAGCCTGACTTTACAATTTAGCAATCAACAAGGCAACAAGTCCACACATTGGCAGCAGCAGTGAAATCTAATGACAAATAGCTTTCAAACTCTATTGAACCACAAGAGGTAAAGTCTGGTAATATACCCAACATGCTGGAGAGAATAGAGTGGCAGCTCCCCTATAATTAGAAATTATTATTTCTTTAGGTATATCATGTATATCATAGAGCAGAAAAAGAGTATGGAGTCTTGATTTATCATTCAAAATTTCTCTTATTAGTTTATGCTAAAATGTCACTGTTTGAAGGGCTCTCCTCTAAAGAGATGTAAAAAAATGGAAAACCAGATACTTGGAAAGCAATTAGCATTACACAGTGCCTTAATGAAGTAATATAATGAACTTGTTATGGCTTTCTGTGTATATATACATAGAACTAGATACTTGTATAAATACATGTATATGTGTATACACATGAGTGAAATTGAAGTGGTGAGTGGCATTCAGATCTATTTCATAATTATTTCACTTATTAAAAATGCAGGAATTGTATATTAGCTGTTGCTGGACAAGAGATAAGAGAGCAAACCAGGTAGCTAAAAGACTCACCCTGGCACTAATAACCCCTGCATCTGTATCACCTCCCCCTGACCCAAAGTGCAAAAAATGTTACAGTCTCACAAGATAATATTCCTTTATATATATATATATATATGCAGAGGAAGGAGTCCAAGCACAACACCAAAACCCAACCTCACCAAACAACCCACCCCCCCGCCCCAAACCCCAAAGCCTAATGAAAAGGAACAGAAATGAATGGGTGATTGGAAAGTAAAAGACAAATATAAAATCTCTTCAGCTTATAACATCAGAGGAAGCTGAGCTTGCAGGACAAATCACAGCCCAACAAACAGCTGGAGATACTCTTTTCCTCCTGTATTTTACTGCTAGATATTACATATGTTGTATTGCTATGATTCAATTCATATGGAAATGGTCCCATATAAACTATAAGAGATATAGCATCCTGGAGTAAAGAGCTTAAATGAAGATTTCCATGGCATAGTTGCCTACATTTGTTTAAATGAATTCCAAGACTATTCTGTTTTAGATCAAGCCTCTCATACTCGATAACTCACACCTGCAGAGGTAATTCAACTCTGAATTAGTACGTTCCTGCAAGTATGATGAGCTTTATTCTCTGTAGTTCAGTCCTGCATGCACTGATTGCTCATCCTGCCCTTGGGTGGTGTAAATGACCACAGAAGATCCTGGCAAGAGCACATGGGTCTCACTGGCTCTGGGGGATCATCCAGAATCCACAGAAAGGAAACAATACTCACTTTTCAGTGGATTGGAAAAAATAACCTTGTACAACTGAAACCTTTTATGAAATAATAGCAACTCCCCCAACCCCAGCTCAGGTATATCACATCGTTACATTAGTGCAGACAGAAAATCAGATACCATTGATTTTTCCAGACCGCTCAGATTCACAAGTGAAGAATTAGGATGACAAGTGGAGAGCATGGTAACTATACCCATGTCTTTTCAAACTCAAGACTCTTATTTTTAGACTCTAACCAATCTATTTTCATCTTGTGTCTTATTTTTTTTTTTTTTTTTTTTTTTTTTTCCCTCTTTTT